AAACTGAAACAAGACCCATACCTCGCCCCATGCACAAAAACTAACTCAAAATGGATCAGAGACTTAAATATAAAATCGAAAACAATAAAGATCATGGAAGAAAAAATAGGGACAACGCTAGGAGCCCTAGTACACGGCATAAACGCAATACGAACCATAAGTAACAATGCACAAGCACCAGAAGAGAGACTAGATAAATGGGAGCTCCTAAAAATCAAATACTTACGCTCATCAAAAGACTTCAGCAAAAGAGTAAAAAGATAACCTACAGACTGGGAAAAAATTTTTGGCTATGACAAGTCTGATCAGCGACTAATCTCTAAAATCTATAAGATAACTGCAAAACCTCAACAACAACAACAAAAAAACCCAAATAACCCAGTTGAAAAATGGGCAAAGGATATGAACAGGCACTTCACCAAAGAAGATATTCAGGCGGCTAACAGATACATGAAGAAATGCTTGGGATCGTTAGCCATTAGAGAAATGCAGATCAAAACTACAATGAGATATCATCTCACCCCAACAAGGCTAGCATTAATCCAAAAAACACAAAATAATAAATGCTGGAGAGGTTGTGGACAGACTGGAACACTTATACACTGTTGGTAGGAGTGTAAAATGGTACAGCCGCTTTGGAAATCGATTTGGCACTTCCTTAAAAAGCTAGAAATAGAAGTGCAATACTATTCAGCTATTCCGCTGCTTGGAATATATCTTAGAGAAATAAGAGCTGTCACACGCATAGATATATGCACACCCATGTTCATTGCAGCACTGTTCACAATAGAAAAAGATGGGAACAACCGAGGTGCACATCAACAGAAGAATGGATAAACAAATTATGGTATATCCACACAGTGGAATACTAGGCAATGATAAAGAACAATGATGAAGCTGTGAAACATCTTATAACATGGAGGAAGCTGGAGGTCATTATGCTGAGTGAATTTAGTCAGTCACAGAAGGACAAATATTGGATAAGACCACTATTATAAGAACTCAAGAAAAGGTTTAAACACAGAAGAAAATGTTCTTTGATGGTTATGAGGGTGGGGCTGGAGGGGGAGGGTTATTTACTAACTAAATAGTAGATAAGAATTATCTTAGGTGAAGGGAAGGACAGGACTCACTACAAGGGAAGTCAGCACAACTGGACTAAACCAAAGCTAAGAAGTTTCCTGAATACAATCGAACACTTTGAGGGACAGAGTAGCAGGGGTAGGGGTCTGGGGACCATGCTTTCAGGGGACATCTAGGTCAATTGGCATAACAAAGCTTATTAAGAAAATGTTCTGCATCCTGCTTTGGTGAGTGACAATCTGGGGTCTTAAAAGCTTGCAAGCGGCAATCTAAGATGCATCAATTGGTCCCAAACGCCTGGAGTAAAGGAGAATGAAGAACACCAAAGACACAAGGAAAGTAGTAGCCCAAGAGACAGAAAGGGCCACATAAACCAGAGACTTCATCAGCCTGAGACCAGAAGAACTAGATGGAGCCCGGCTACCACCCACCAATGACTGCCCTGACAGGGAACAACAGAGAGTCCCCGATGGAGCAGGAGAAAGGTGGAGTGCAGAGCTCAAATTCTAGTAAGAAGACCAGACTTAATGGTCTGAGACTGGAGGAACCCCAGAAAGCGTGGCCCCTAGATTCTCTATCACCTCAGAACTAAAACAATTTCTGAGGCCCACTCTTCAGACAGGGATTGGACTGGACTGTGGGACATAAAGTGACACTCGTGAGCAGTGTGCCTCTTAGCTCAAGTAGATACAAGACACTAAGCAGGCAGCTTCTGTCCGGAGGTGAGATGGGAAGACAGAGAGGGTTAGGAGCTGGTTGAATGGACATGGGGAATTGGGATGAAAAGGAGGAGTGTGCTGTCACAGTATGGGGGAGCAATTCAAGTCACAAAACAATATATGTATAAATTTTTGTATGGGAAAAAATTTAAAAATTAAAAAAAAAATAAAGAGTTCTTTGTAGCAGATTTGCCCAATGCAATGCATCATTTGATTTCTTTACTCCTGTTTCCATGGGTGTTAATTGTGCATCCAAGTAAAATGAAATCCTTGACAACTTCAATCTTTTCTCCATTTATCATCATGTTGCATATTGGTCCAGTTGTGAAGACTTTATTTTCTTTATTTTGAGGTGTAATCGGTACTGAAGGCTGCAGTCTTTGATCTTCATCAGTAAATGCTTCAAGTCCTCTTCATTTTCAGCAAGCAGGGTTGTGTCATCTGCATATTGCAGGTTGTTAATGAGTTTTCCTACAATCCTGATGCCACATTCTTCTTCATATAGTCCAGCTTCTCGGATTATTTGCTCAGCATACAGACTGAATAAATATGGTGAAAGGATACAACCCTGATGCACACATTTCCTAACTTTAAACCATGCACTATTCCATTATTCTGTTTGAATGACTGCTTCTTGATGTATGTACAGGTTCCTCATGAGCACAATTAAGTGTTCTGGAATTCCTATTCTTTGCAATGTTATCCATAATTTATTATGATCCACACAGTCAAATTCCTTTGCATAATCAACACAGGTAAGCATCTTTCTGGTATTCTCTGCTTTCACCAGGATCCACCTGACATCAGCAATGATATCTCTGATTCCACATCCTCTTTTGAATAATCTTCAGCAAAATTTTACTTGTGTGTAATATTAATGATATCGTTCGATAATTCCTTCATTTAGTTGGATCACGTTTCCTGGGAATAGGCATAAATATGGATCTCTTCCAGGTGATTTGCCAGGTAGCTGCCCTACAAATTTCTTGGCATAGATGAGTGAGCACTGCCAGCGCTGCCTCCATTTGTTGAAACATCTCAATTGGTACTCTGTCAGTTCCTGGAGTCTTGTTTTTCACCCATGCCTTCAGTGTAACTTGGACCTCTTCCTTTAGTACCATTGGTTCTTGATCATATGCTACCTCCTGAAATGGCTGAACATCGACCAATTCTTTTTGTTACAGTGGCTCTGTGTATTCCTTCCACCTTCTTTTGATGCTTCCTGCGTCGTTTAATATTTTTCCCGTAGAATCCTTTGATATTGCAACCTGAGGCTTGAATTTTTCCTTCAGTTCTTTCAGGTTGAGAAATGCTGAGCGTATTCTTCCCTTTTAGTTTTCTAACTTCAGGTCTTTGCACATTTCATTATAATACTTTGTCTTCTCGAGCTGCCGTTTGGAATCTTCTGTTTAGCTCTTTACCTTACTTATCACTTACTGTGGATTTGTCATCAGGAAAAACCTATCATTAGAAAAAGACATCATGTTTGGTAAATTAGAGGGTCATTGAAAATGGGAGAAATCCTCAATGAGATTGATTGACACAATGGCTGCAACAGTGGGCTCAAGCATACCAGTGATCGTGAAGATGGTACAGGACGGGGCAACGTTTTGTTCTGTTAATACGTAAGGTCACCATGAGTTGGAGCTAACTTGATAGCAACCAACAACAAACATCACTTTTAACAAATGGATGATTTTCAATCTTTTTTTTTTTTTTAAAACCAGCTGCAGACCTCTTCATCAAACGAATTTTTAAACAAAGTCTAAACTATAAAACAGACCAAAGCAAAGCTGACTGGTTGAAGGGGAGAAGAACTGTGGGTTAGGCAGGCTTAGCTTCCCCCCTCTAGGTAGCACCTGAGGTACCCTGGAGGAATTACCATAGTTTCCAGGGTTTTTGATGGCTATTTTTTTTTGGAAGTAGATCACCAGGCCTTTCTCCCAAGGCACCTCTGGGTGGACTCAAGCCTTTCAGTAGCTGGGTACGTTAACAATTTGCACCACCCAGGGTTCTACCAGTTTGAAAATCACTGTTTTTGCAACATAATCTTTAGAGATCCTCTCCATGTATCTGTTCTGTACAAGAAGGAAGTTGTTTTCCAGAAAGCTCTGTAGGAAGTGGCTTGCTTTGTGTCCTGGCATGTAAATCTCAACTTCTTTGCTTTAAAAAGGGGTTCACCATGGGGTTTCCTTTACCCCCAGTAATACTCTCCAGATGTGATGGATACAGTCCTAGCGTTTCAGAAGCTCATTCCTAGGAGGAGAGCTAATGCGGAGGGTGGTGGGAAGGACCTGGACCAGGAGAAGGAAGGCCCCGGGCCAGGGTCTGGCTTCCTCACACATAGCTGTGTGATTTTAGGCAAGTCACTTTCCCCGTCTGGGCCTCAGTTGTCTCAGACCATTCCTACACTGATGGATCAGAATAAGAAATCGCTCGTAACCATTTTGACACAGACCTCTGTGAGAATGTGAAAATGCCCACAGTGCATCCGTAAGGAAAAACCCAGTTATCATAGCATTTCAGTGTTTTCATGCACAGCTTGGGGGCAGGTTGGGGCCTTTTCCCTGATAAGAATTCAAATTAGGTTAGTTTTAAGATTTCTCTCATGTGTAAAACATTATGCAAATGTGGAATTACTGAAAAATGAATTGCATGAGTGGTTCCAACTAATTAAGACTTAACAATTTCAACATAACACTGTATCAGTAATTATTAATGAAGCTGTATGTGGTTCGCTGATCAATATTAAGGTATATTATGAGAAATGGAAAACTCTTATAAGTGACGAACGTTTAATTCCACTGCTGGTGAAATAGCACATCAAAAATATTTGTCCTTCTTTCTTTGCTTCTGGTAGACCATCATTAACTCAGTTACTCACCTACACTAAAAAATAGGAATAAAATGATAAGAATACTATATAAAAACCAAAAAACCAAACCCACTGCTGTCGAGTTGATCCCAACTCATAGCGACCCTATAGGACAGAGTAGAACTGCACCGTAGAGTTTCCAAGGAGCGCCTGGTTGATTCGAACTGCCAACCTTTTGGTTAGTAGCCATAGCTCTTAACTACTATGCCGCAGAGGTGCAATAATTTGTGAGCATAAGTAGACTTCTATTTTCTAAACATGCATTTTATGCCTTTTACTGAATAAATAATCTTGCTACTGTTCTGTGGCTTTTTTTTTTCCAGATACTGTCAGAAAAATTATACAAAAGAAGTTTGACCTCATGGAGGATTATAAGGAGGTAATTTTTATTTATAAGTATGTTATTTTTTTAAAAAAATGTATGAGGAATATTTTGGCTGACTTGAAAGTAAGTCTTTAAACATCCAGTTATGTGATCTGTGGTCTTAGTAACCTTTTTTGACTGAGAACTTGCGTGGAAAATTGAAACACCTTTAGATTCCATTGGAACAACAGCAGAAATTCCAAGAGTGGAGTTTGAAGAAACATTAACCTTTCAGACTATATGTTGTTTAAAAACTAAAATTCCTAAAAGGAAATATTATGCTACTCTTTTAGCTAAGGGAGGAAGATTCCCCTAACTGAGTAGAATCGTTTGAGAATCCTAGCAATAGTGAGTGTACGCTTTGTTTTAAAAGAAAGTTTGCCAGAAAGTAGCTTCACATTTGAACAATATCTGCTGAGCACCTCCTATGTATGTGGCGGAGTCCCTGATGTGCAAACGATTAAGTGCTCAACTACTAACCAAAAGGTTGACAGTTTGAACCCACCTAGAGGTGCCTCGGAAGCAAGATCTGGTGATCTACTTCTGAAAAAAATCAACCATTGAAAACCCTATAGAGTGCAGTTCGACTCTGCAACACACAGGGTCACCCCGAGTTGGAATTGACTTGTTGGTGACTTTTTTTCTGTTTTGCTTTTTGTATGTGGCACTCAGCTGGATATGAAAGAGATATGGAAATGAGTAAGATAGTCCCTGAGTAGTGCAAATAGTTAATGCACTCAGCTGCTAATTGAAAGATTGGTGGTTTGAGTCCATCTAGAGATGCCTCAGAGGAAAGTCCTGGCAATTTACTTCAGAAAAATCAGCCGTAAAAAACCCTATGGAGCACAGTTCTACTCTGACTCACGTGGGGTTGCCATGAGTTGGAGCTGACTCGGTGGCAACTGGTTTTAAGATAGTCCTTGGTGTCAGCAGGCTAAGAGCCAGATGGCAGAGACAGTACGTAATAATTTGAAGGAGAAGGAAATAAGTGTATCTATGAGTTACATGCAGAGGGGTGTAGAGAAAAATAGTTAATTCTGACCAGAATCTTTTCAGAGAGGAGGTAGCTTTGGGCTTGTAGTAAAGGTTAGGCAGGGTTGGAACAGGTGGGGAGGTGGCTCTGCTGGGCCACATGGACGCAGAAACCACGTGAGGAAAGGCAAGATGTGAAAGGAGCAAGCCCATGGCCAGAGCAGGTGAGTGAGGAGGCCAAGGAAGGAAAGGTAAGTTGGGGCCAGATCATGGGAGGGGCCTTGAATGCCTTGCTAAGGTGAGTGGATAGTATGTTCGGAAAATATTAAGGCACCATGTGGGTCTCTACTTAATGCCCAAGGCACTGCTAATTCCCTTACTTTGATTCTGTAACTGATTGTTTAAACAAAAATATATTCCTTTCATTTTGGTTTATTATGGGTGTAGGCTGCCAGTGAAACAAAACAAACCAACATTTGTTGTATTGTATGTAGGATAATGAAGAACAGTTAAGTCTGTTTGTCAGGATCTTAGTCCTGCAGGGTAAAGCACTTTGGTTCTTTCCTTTCCTGGTGTGAAGATGTTTGTCAAGATAACATTAAAAGAACTAAAGTAGTTCTGTAGGTTACCTTTCAGCCAAATTTAATAGATTGGCTTTTAACACCTGTAAGTAATGCACTCCCTTAATTAAACAATCAATTATATGAGACCAAATAGTCACCATTTACCCAAAAGGAAAGATGAGAAGGCAAGGTGAGGAAGGGAAGCTAGATTACTGGAAACAGAACAAACAGAACGGAAATAATGAGAATGCTGACACATTGTGAAAATTGTAACCAATATCACAGAACAATTTGTATAGAAGTTGTTAAATGGGAACCTAATTTGCTGTGTAAACTTTCACCCAAAACACGATAGAATATTAAGGAAATGAATAGAAAGATAACATTAAAAGCAGACTGACAAGTAGGGACATCATTTATCGGCAGCACAACAAATCTGACTTGGAATGTTCCTAGTGGATGTGAGGGCAATGGGGGGTGAGGGCAGTTAACTCCGTCCCAGTCAATGGTTAGCTCAGATACTGTGTTACAAATGGCATCATCGTACTGTCCATTTGCGATAAAACGATACTCAAGAGACAGTAAACACAGAAGCCTTATCTAAAAGCCATTTACATTGGACCACAGGGTTGTTGTTGTTGTTAGTTGCCTTTGAGTCCATTCCGACTTCCACAGGGAAGACTGAACTAGCGCTTCCCTAGTGCCCACAGCCTGCCTTAGTAGTCGGAAAAGTGTTTTCATTCTTCTGTGCCACTGGCTTCATTTATATCTCACAAACATGATTGCCCGTATCTGCGTGCATCCTGGGCAGAACCAAATGACTGTTGCTTTTATATGTCTGTTAAAAATTATCCATCTGAGATACAACTATTTGTCTCGTCCAGAGCAAAAGAGAAAGAAGGAAGCCAAAGACTCAAAGAAGAAACTAGTCTATAGGACAAATAGTCTACACGAACCATGGCCTCATCTATCCTGAGACCAGAAAAACTAGATGGTGCCAGGCTACTACTACTGACTGTTCTAATCAGGGCCGTAAAAGATGGACCCTGATAGAATGGGAAAAAAATGTGGAACAGAATCGCCAATTTCTTAAAAAGAAAGGAAACCAGATCTACTGGACTAGTTGAGACCGGAGGACTTCCTGAGACTATTGCCCAGAGATACTCTTGAAACCTTGAACCTGGAACGGAACTAGCCCTTGAAATCACCTTATAGCTAAATAACAAATTGGCTAAAAAAATAACGAATATCACCTGTAAGTATTGTGCTCCTTTAAAAAAATCACCTTTATGAGACCATATGATCAACAATTACTTTAAAAGAAAGATGAGAATGTAAGAGGGCAGGGAAACCAGATTAATGGAAGCGGAACAACCAGAATGAAAATAATGAGAATGTTCACACATTGTGAAGAATGTAACCAATGTCACTGAACAACTTGTATAGAAATTATTGAATGGCAACCTAAACTGCTGTGTAAACCTTCACCAAAAACACAATAAAGTATTATATATATAAAAAAATTAGCATGTCGTTAGCACCCTGGCCTGGATGCCAACTAGTCCTGCTAAGGAATGAGTGGGGCAGAGGCAACACTTCAGTTGGGCCCAGGCCTTGGACCACAAGGTCCTAAGACCAGGAAGTGATGCTGAGGAGCCTGGCAGATGTGGGCTGGAGCTGGGCTGCCACTATCCCTGGCAGGATTCTTAGTTGGACAGGTCCTTTGTGGTTGGATTGATTTTAGATTTGGGGCTCCTGCAAACTTGGGAATCCCTGGTTCCTGATTTCATTTCAACCTCAGAGTACGTTTTCCAGTGGAGAAAAACCATTGGTGTGGGGTGAAGTAGAGAGAGGATACTTGGTTGAACCGACATGGATGAGCTAAGTCGAACCTTGGATGTAGGACTGCATCATGCTTTCCACAGTTAACCAAGGAAGAGGGATAGCAGTTAAGCAAAGACATCAAGAAAGCCAGACACCTTTGTAGAGGAGCTTCCTGGTTGGTTTTAGCCTGGAAAATGCCAGATGTCTTGGTTTGGATCCCTCCAGATGCAGAGCCTGAGTCTAGGACTCAAAGACAAATTGTTTATTTGAGGGATGCCGAGTACCCTGGCCAGGAAATGGGGAGGCGATACAGGCCAGGGAGGACAGCCTATACAGGGTGTGCCATTGTACCAGCTGGCACGGGGTGACTGGAGCTGCATCCTGCAGAACCTCAGAATTAGCCCATGAGAAGCCTGAGAGAGCTGAGGTATGGCTATGCCAAGAGGCACTGGTTAAGGGCTGCTTGAGGGTGGGGGACATTATGAGTTCCTATGTACTTGTGACCTGCCATGGTTCCAGAATAAACCTTGGAGCACAAAGTTAGAGATACCAGTAAGTAGAAGTCTGAGGAGGCCTGCTGAGATGGTTAAGATCCCAGGGAGGTGAGCGGGCACCAGTAGCATCAGCTATGCTGGCAGTGCCCAGTGGCTTTCATGTTAATGCTGTTACCCAGGTGAGATCTGTTCAGGTGAGGGACCCTGGGTTGGAGTCTTTTGAGCTCTGTTTCATTTGCTGTCGAGCCCCCTGATGCCCAAGGAGTCCGGGCAGCCAAGTCAGTGATCTTGTGATTGGGGGAGGGTTTCAGTGAACTCTTTCCTTATAGGGAGGTTCAAAAATATTCAGCAGTGGAGACCTTTTATTCCCAAGGTGACCCCAACTTTGGCAGGGGAAAAATGACTTCTCTTTACAGAGCTCCCTCCTTTCTGTACTTAGCTGTAAGGTAAAAAGTAATATTTAAGGTCCTTGAACCCCTTCTCCTCACTGCCCCTCTCCCTTTCAAAAAATATTTTCTCTCCTTTGTTATTCTGTGCATCACTGTCAATAGGAATTATGAGTTTCCTGGTGATGCCTTCCCAGATCAGTTTCTGTGTGGTCATGGTTTCTCCTCTAGGTTTAGCTAGCTAGTTGGCATCTTCCTGGCTCATCTCATTCCTCAGTTACTCCCCTTCCCTTTCTTGAAGCTTCCTCTGGGGCAGGTGCAGGATGTGCGACTCCTCCTGCTGATTTTAATGACCTCACTCATGCTAACGGTCACTGGATAACGATTTGGCTCTAGTGTCAGGCCATCATTATAAATGGGTTTGTGATGGCTGGAACCTACCCTTCGTGTCTGTGAGAGGTAAGTGATTCAGTTACTTGTACCCTACTACACCATGGACCGCCAAAAGACTGAACAAACCAGTCTTAGAAGAAATGCAACCAGCATGCTCTTTAGAAGCGAGGATGGTGAGACTTTGGCTTGCTTACTGTGGATACATCATCAGGAAAGACCAATTGCTAAAAAAGGACGTCATGTTTGGTAAAGTAGAGGGTTAGCGAAAAAGAGATGGATTGACACAGTAGCCACAACAATGGACTCAAACATGCCAAAGTTCATGAAGATGGCACAGGACTGGACAACTTTTCTATTATACATAAGGTCATCATGAGTCAGAG